GCTCGCCTGGCATGCGTGCGGCCCGGGTTCGATCYTCAGCACCACATACCAACAAAGATGTTGTGTCCGCCGAGAACTAAAAAATAAATATTAAAAATTCTCTCTATCTCTCTCTCTCCTCTCTTACTCTCTCTTTAAAAAAAAAAAAAAATAAAAAGAAAAAAAATAAAAATCTAAATATTGGTTTCATTCTGTACTCTAAAGTAAGCATTATTAGGTCCCTCCCTCTGCCTTCCCCCACATAATACATCCTGGGGAAAGCTGTCCTTTTATTGGTTGAATATGCTATCAGTTACAAAGCATGAAAAGTACTGCTTCTGCTCTGTTTGCATTATGAATTAACAGATGTGCTTGGTTTGAAGAAACTGATTCATTCCTTGATGGGAAGAAAAATCTTGTTTAGTTTTTCACTTCTTTTTCTATGTATGGGATTTTCACTAACTTTGGACCAGATATTTACCAGGAAGAATGTAAGGTGAGCAATTATACATCTTTTAATGAAATGCATTTGTGAACTTCAATGCAAGTCTGACATGAGATGGTTCTGTTATTTCTTTAAATGTCAAATATCTATATTTGTTTATGGTTCAAAATTGATAAACTAGCTACTAAATGGTTCAAAATGAAGAGCTAGCTACTAAAATTATCAAACTGGAGTTTATAATTAAGATTAAAAATAATCTTTATTATAAGAGGCAAGGATTATTTATTCATAATACTCAAGAAGCATTGTAATACATGTGCAAGTATATGTCTATCAGAAAATGTTTCCTTAAATCAGTGTTCAGCTTTCTTTTATACTTATAAGTAAATGTTAATTTCATAATTTCTCCTGTTATTCTGTGGGAAGTAAGAAAAAATATAAAATCTCAGAAATATATAACATGTCCCTTAAAGAAAAGGTATTAATTTTAACTGGTCTGAGATGGTAATTGTGTATGATACACAGTATTTCTAATTAACTAGCACAATTTCTATTTCTCCTCTTGTTGTTACTTTGGTTTCTTTCCATACTGTATGAGGGAGCACATAGAAGTTTATCGATAATAAAAGAATATTTGGAATCTGAATTGCAGTTAATTTATGTTATGTCTCCCAATTTTTCATTATGTGCTGTTTCAACAAAAGCACCAGGGAATTTAGTGTGAACACAAAGCATACCAGCAAGCAGAGTGGTCTAGAAAAACTTGTCTTAAAGAATTCTTAAGTCAGCAGCAGATAAAAGCTGTAAGGATAGGCATCTTAAATTGTTTTTACCCCYTTTTTTTCCCCCAATTAATTGGTATCTTCCTTCAGGTTTGCTTTTAAATAGTGAATGACTTATTTTTCTTAGGTGGTTAGTTTAATAATGTTTCATCACCAAGTTTATACAGAAATGACTGATCTGTGTACTACAGTGGAAAAGAATTATAAAAACCTGGGCTGGGTTGTAGCTCAGTGCTTGCCTAGCACATATGAAGCACTAGGTTTGATCCTCAGCACCACATTAAAAAAAAAAAAAATAAAGGCATTATGTCCATCTATAAGTAAAAAAAAAGAATTATAAAAATCCTATTCTGTTTTTAAGGCAAGGTTAACAGATTTAAATAATCTTAGCTGCAGAAGCTTTAGATATTAAAAATTGTATAAATCAATTATCATTCAAGTCTAATATGGGATTTTAATTCATTATAAAGCTCAGATATCTCTTGATTGCTGTTTCATGAATTTTCTTTCAAATCATGGATCTGAAATAAAAAATATCTTTCAACTCAAAATACTATTCAATTTTAAAAGTCTTTAGGAAGGATGAGCTTGATACAGCTTTCCTTAAGCTTAGAGAGAATGCATGTCACCATTCTTCCTTTTCATATTCCTTCCTCATGCTGGGTTTATTCTGGAATCAAAAGGAAACTGTGTGATCTTGTATTTTCCACCTTGATTTCAGAGCTCATTAATTTGTTTGGTTGTTCTTGCAWGTAACACATTTTAAAAATACTTTGTACTTTTCATTAGCTAGGCACTATACTAGTCTCTAGGTCTTTAGTGAAGACCAAAATAGGCAAAGTCCCTGCCCTCATAGACTAAGACTAGTGAAGAGATGCTCATTAATCAAGTGATAAATATAATTATTAATAAACATGGAAATGTGTTGTGAGGAAAAAATATGGGAAGCTCTGAGCACATAAAATGATATCTGAACTAGTGTGAGAAGTTAGAGACCATGTTCCTGAGGAACAGATATTTGAGTTGTGATTGGGAGAATAGGTAGAAAATAACAGGATGATACAGAACATTGCAGATAAAGAACAGCATGTTTTAAGGCTTTTATGAGGAAAGAAAGAAACATGGGGCCTGAAGAAAGGTAGTGTAGCTGGAGCAGAGAGAAAAGAGAAGARGTAAACTGAGGTAAGTACAGTTGGCAGGTTGAGGACTTCGAGCCTGTAAGTCATGGTGGGAGTGTGACTTTTGTTCTCAGAAGGAACACAGTAGAGCTGCCTCATTGTCACATTCACCTGCATGAAGGCATATGACACTCACAGCTACAAATCTAAGATGCTTGATTACCTTTCTAATGCTGTAGAGATCCTTTTTACTGGAAAAGGGTTTAAATAGTTTCTGCTGTGGTTCAGAGATTATATAGTAATAGGAAAATGTACATTATTTTGTTTGGCTTGAGATAATGGTTTCCAGTAAAACCTCATTAATTCAGACTTAGAGGTGTGTGTAAAGCCTATCTGGATTACAGCTTGTTTTAGAAAGTCTAACAGCATTATTATATCCATTATTATTGGATGCTCAGACCAGAAACATTGAAACAACAGTGAGCTTGTGTTGTCTACCAGAAATCTTTCATTAGTGAACACATGGAAAAATTTAATTAACACTGCAGAGTATCAATCCAGTACTACCAATGATATTGTAGCTCATTCATTCACCCTATACTTTTATTCAATAAACATTTACTAACCTCCTTACTAACTAGATATTTCCAATTGATCTGATCAATTTTTATCTTACCTAGGTAAAACATATTAAAATTTTCTGTTTTTGTTCACTAAGATATTTAAAAATTGAGTATGTAATCTGGCATCATGAAATATGATTTTTCAATAAAATTCAAATTAAGGAACATTTAAAAATCTATTTGTGTGGTTATATTATTATAATATAGTTTTATATTATTATAAGGTTAATATATTATAATATTATATTATTAGAAAGCTTGAAGCTCTCCAGGAAGTAGTGACTGGATATTAGTTTTTCTTATATATCTAGTGACATTTTAATTTGCATTATAGAATTTGGAGTTTAACTCAGGAAATTAAATTTCTTAGTGCTCCTAGAATGGGCTCAGAGAACTGATTCATGCTAACTCCTCTAACAAGAATCCTACTATAAATAATAACATTTTCCACACAAAATATTATAATGAGAGAGTTCTTAAATCTTTATTTGAAGTAGTCCCAAATTAGAAATATGATAGATGCCCATCAATATATGCAAAGACAAATAAAATGTGGTATATCAACAATAAAATATTTCTTAGCAATAAAATGGAGTGAATGCTCGATATATACAACAATATACACTGATTTAAAAGTCATTATGTTAAGACTGAAAAAAGCCAAACACTAAAGAATATATGTTATATGATTCTATTAATATAAAATTCTAGAAAATGCAAACTAATCTAAAGGGACAGAAAGCCTGTCTATACTTTCCTAGGGCTAAGGGTGGAGGGAACATCTCTTGAATGCAGAAATGTTTGGGGATATTTTTATGAGTGATATAAATATTCTGTATCTTTATTGTAGCAGTGATGTCATGAGTATGTGCCTGTGCCAAAATTTATAGATTTGTATACATTATATATAGTTAACTGTACATAAATTATAGCTCCACAAAATGAGTGAATAAAATCTGAATAATTGCATGCATGCATGAATTTATTTAAGGCATCTAGTAGACATCATTGTCCCCAATTTGTCATCTTCAGAAATTCTTTTAGATAATAAATATCATATTGCAAAGAGAATTGTACATTTAATTTATAATTGATGCCACATGATTAATTCTAAACACTTTACTTTGATATGGCTTTAGTACTCTTTGGCTATAATTATTTTTTGCATACATATCATGACATATACTATATATTCTTTAATAATTAAAATGTTCAGGTTACATGATAGTGATATGTTAAGCATAGAGTTTGATCTACATTCTCATATACTATAGGTAAAACTTATGAAAAACTTCAAATGTACAATAAATAAACTTAAAATCTTTAGAACATTTATGACCCACTTGGAGATTTAAACACTGAAAATATTTAATGTTAAAAAATTATCAATATTTATAGATGTAATCTTATTATTATTTTTGAAGTCCTTATCTTTTAGAGATAGATTTCAAAATGATATAATTTCTGAWATTTTCTTCAAAATAATACCACAGGGGAGAAATGGGTTATGACTTGATAATTACTAAAGCTAGATGATAGGAACAGGCAGATAGGGTGGTTTTAAAAATATTTTTGTTTATAAAACATTTCATGATGAAACATGTATGTATGTTTATAACTTAATGACTTCACTTCAGGAATTTATCTTAAAGAGCTTCACATGGATATGAACAAATAATCCATAATAACAAAGCAGTGTTTTTACACTACCCCAAAATTGGAAACAACTTATATGAATTAGCTTTTAATTACTGTAATGGAATACCTGACATAGGCTACTAATGAAAAATAAAAGAGGTTTTTTATCTCACAATTTTAGAAGTTTAGAAGCATGGTCCCTGTATTGACTCAGTTTTGGTGAGGGCTCCCTGGTGGATGGTGAATGGTAATGATGGAACATGTGTCAGGAACAAGTGATCACATCTTGAGCCAGGAACCAGAGAGAGCAGGAGGGGCCAGGTGTGCTCCTTTTGTAACAACTTTCTCTCAATAACTGTTAAGGGTTCATGTAAAAACTACTGCATACCCTCAATAACATAAAGATCTCCCATTATACCTGACCTCCCAATACTGACACCTCATAATACTGACATTGTGGTACCAAGTCTTTAATCAGCATGAAATTTTGGGGGACTCTCAATTCATAGCACAACTTAAATAATTAAGAATAGGAATTTGGGGTTGGGGTTGGGGCTGTAGCACAGTGGTAGTGTGCTTTCCTAGCATGTTTGAGGAACTGAGTTCGATCCTTAGCACTACATAAAAATAAATAAAATAAAGGCATTCTGTCYATCTACAACTACAAAAAAAGAAAAAGAATAGGAATTTGGCAGTGACTCAGGAGGCCGAGGCAGGAGGATCACAAGTTCAAAGGCAGCCTCAGCCTCAGCAACTTAATGAGACTCTATTACAAAATAAAAAATTAAAATGGTTGGGGATGTGACTCAGTGGTTAAATGCCCTTGGGTTCAATTTCTGGTACCAAAAAAAAAAAAAAAAGAATGGGAATGAGGTTAAAGATATTATGATAATGATTTCATGATGTAATATCACATTGAATTCAAAATTGTATCAGAAAAATATATAACATGGGTAACTATTTGTGATATATTTTATGTTAAAAATTGCAGTCTCCAAAATAGTATGTTCACAAAAATCTATTTTAAAGTTTTATGAAAAGTAAATATGTATATGGTATATGTATGTCTGTATAGAGAGACTGAAAGTATATATATATATATATATATATATATATATATATATATACACACACACACATACATATATATCATATTTCTATTCTCATCATTTTTTAAAATACCATTTTGGTAACTGATGTTTAAAAAAATTTTTTTTTTAAAGAATTGCATATTTTAGGGCTGGGGTTGTGGCTCAGTGATAGAGCACTTGCCTAGCATGTGTGATGCACCACATTAAAAAAATAAATAAAATAAAGTTATAAAAATCTGATGGAGAAATAGATTTAGAAAAGAAATGCATATTTGGCTTTAATATATTAGCAATTCAATGTAGTATAAAATTTCCCTATAAAATATTTTATTCTGCTTTATTATTTTGTTATTATTTTTTGTTGGTTCAACTTCAACTTGGCTCTGTACAATATTCAATGAATAAGGATCAAGGTTGATTTTTAAATTTTTTTCTTTAAATTTTTTCTGAATTGTCTACATATTTGTTTGAAGAACATATATTACTTTTGATATCAGAAATTCACCATTAGAAAATGAACAGTTCTGACAGGCTGAGGTTCTGCTCCTCGGCTCTGGAATATAATAACTTAAATATACTTCTGAAAGCTTCATGTAATCTGAATTGTAGGTACTTGCTTAGCATTTTAATTTTTTTTCCAATTTCAGTTCTCAAACATCTTCAAATAAAGAAGTGGTTATAAAGAAAGGTAAGACTTGTATTGCCCCTATGATTCCTTGGTGGAGGGTGTTAAAGAACAGCTTTTTCTGTTACAGGCTTCCCTGATCAGTAGTGGTGTTTGTTCTTACCTAGATTCCCCATGTGAAAAATTTCTTAAACTAGTATATTTTAAATTATGAGGCAAAGGAGACTCAAGTCTGATATATTTCACAGTGCTTAGCATATTATTGTCATTCAATGACATTCATACATTGATATTCTTTAGCCTTGGTACTCACATCTTTATTTGACAGGTCAACAGAATAATGGAGATATGAAACCAATCCAGAATTTCACAACAATGCCAATCACGAAGGTATGGGTCTATCTGAGAATTAGATTGTAATCTATCTTTTAAATAATTAAAACAGCGGCATAGTAAAAATACAAATAATAATTCTGTTAATATTTAACATAGTTTTGCTTGAACTTTGAGTAGGGGAGTATATTATAGTGTTCTTATAAATTAGAAAAACCTGAAATACTTAATTTTACTTGCTGTCTTATATTTTTATTACAATATTCAGTTTTATTTTTATTGCTTTCCAGACAGGATCATTACAGTAGCATTTTATCCTTTTATATCATTTTTATTTTTTGTTGGTTTGTGCTTTCTTTTTTATTGGTACATTATAATTGTACATAATAGTGGAATTCATGTCATATTTGTGCATGCACATAATTTGCTCAGTCTCCTTCCCCAGTATCTTTCCTTTCCCTCCCCTCTTCTTACCCGCTAATCCACTTGCTGTACTCTACTGATCTCCCTTCTAGAAGTTTGTCTTTGATTATCCTTGAGCTTGCCTTGTTGCTCCCTCTTAATTAATTTTTCTTTTATCTGTACTTGCATTGGAGTAATTGGTTCACTCTTTGTGTTGTACATTTTATGGATTTTAATAAATGTTTGACATATGTCTATTATTATAAGATATTAATTAGCCTTTTTACTTCTAGGAAGACTTTTGTATCATGGACATGTTTATTTTTAAATTTTATTTTATTTGGTTAATTAGGCTTTTAAAAATCTGAGCAAAGAGGGACATTTAGAAAAAGAACATGGGAATGCCTTCAGCCATCATAACCCTGTTAATGTCTCCGTTGATGGAATTTCCTGCATTCTCTTCTGGGCCAAAAGAATAACAATTAAATTTAAGAATCTGACCTGGCTGGACCTTACAGATGAAACATTTGATCAAAAGGCAGTAGTGGATACTGGCAACTCAAACTGCAGTGAGGAAAGTGCCACGTAAGTGGATCTATTTGCTTGAGGCATCCTTGAGGGGTATTGTAGTCTGTTAACTATAAAAATCCTTTTTTTTTTTGTCATTTCAGAAAAAAAGGGGGACTCCTTTGAACATGACCCTGACATTCTTTGAGGAAGGGAGCAAGTGTTTAATATATAAATGAAAGAACAAGTCAGAAATTAACTTTATATATTTAAAATTTTTTTCCTGGCAATTTCCTTGTGGACCTTTTAAACAATTATCATAAGAACTTTATGGAAAATGAGGGTTTTTAAAATGAGGGTTTCCAAACCCATTCTGAAAAAAAAGGAAAGAATAGAAAAGGACTTCAGGCTTAGTCTAAGTCTAAATGTTAGGTATTAAACTACTTTTGTCTCACCATGGAAGAAATTACATGTCAAAGCCGAGTTATATATGTGGATTAAACAGAGAAGATTCACTTTAGCTAGGACAAATGTCTGACTGCAGGGGGGATTCTGAAGTTATGGAACACTGTTTGTTTGCAAATGTGCAAGGGTACCTTTGAGTGGCCAAATTTCAGAGAACTCTTTAGGACATTTCAACCTGATGAGAACAATTAGTTTTGATTTGAGATAAGCTGATTAAATATATGTCCCTCTTGAAGAACAAATCAATTTCCAATGTCTTTCTCTGCTTTTCAGTCATCAAAGCAAGAAATTTTGCTATTACTTGCTTTGGTCCAGGGGGAGGGAATTTGATATGTTATACTTGTGTTCTATAAACCTCTTTTTTTCAATATTTGCTGGCAAAATGGATGTTTTTGGAAGATTCTCTGCATGTGTTCTGGTCTGGTTCAGATGGATAGGATGCTTTGTATAAAACATGACATATATATATATATATATATATATATTTGTGTGTGTGTGTGTTCTTTTTACACTTTATATAGTTTGGCTGAAAATACCTTTTTATTCCTCATCTAAAAATTCTTGATGATGGATAAAAATGGATTATATTAATGTACACTTAAAAGTCACATTATAAGTATTAGTATTTTGCRATTGAGAATGACCAACTTAACAAAAATTTAGGGAATTGAAAGTGTAAACATTCAGAATCATCCCATATCTGTTTATCCTGTTATAGCATGACTATCATAGACTATGAAAGAGATGCCAACACTGCTGAGAGCTCAGAACCTTTTTCCTCAGGCTCTAATTTATTCCCTACAGGGCTCTTTATTTGTGGTCAGTTGCACAGAGAGAGGCTGATTGCCTGGAGATAACTTGGTTGACTGGCCCACCTAAATCGCATTTATTATGACTATAAGGTTTTTGTAGGGAAAATCAGAACACCACAACTTTTCACTGGGCTTTGGGGACCTTAGTGACCACTAGGAGCCGACAGATGGAAAAAAATAAAAATTTGACTTCTAGACCCAGTTCTCCCAGTGAACTTTGTGATTTTACAAATAGGACCTGTAGGGTCATCATGTATCAGATGTGTTATCATCAGGGTGTCCAGTTGAGTTTAAGTCCTTGATGTCCTGAACAAGAAATGAGTAAAACACACACAAATAACAGGCCAAGTACAGATTTATTAAAAGCAAAGTTGAAAGTGAGGGTATCATTCTGTAATGTAGAATGGAGTGGGTCAAGCAAGAAAGAGAAACACAAGGCCCTGGTGTCTGGAAATCAGTGTCTTATACGCTGAGCTGTGAGGAGTTCTCTTTCCTATACAAAGCAGATTAAAGACTTCACCCCACTTGCTCCCATTGTTTACCTTATGATAGCTGATTAGAATATTGTCCAATTTTCTCCCATTGGTTACTTTAGAAAACCTAATTAGAATACTACCCAATTTATCCCCATTGGTCATTTTAATATACCAAACCTGTGGCAGGAATTATTATGGTGATAAATCCTCAGTGGTGGGAGTTGTCATGGTAATRTTATTTATCAAAAACAGAGACATGACTTATCTCCCTGTATTGTTCTCCATTAGCATCTTTCTTACACCCTTCCACTGCCATTTTGATGTCCCCAAACTCCTACCTAATAGATGGATGTGATGATATCTACTCATTGTGACCAAGAAGTCTTACATGTACATGGGTCAGRCACTGTATAGAGGCCATAACAAGCCCATTATCTCTTATTCCTCATAATATCTCTCTAAGTCACAGGCCACCATCCCTGTTCCAGGTGAGGAAATCAAGGTTCAAATGAGTTTCAAAATTTATTGCAGACTCACAATTTGTATTTAACAGAACCAGGAGAGGAAGTGTTTAATGACATTTTAATTCCTTCCCCTTGGCCCTGTCTTACAGGGTTATGAAAGTCAAATGAGATGTATTCATAAGAATTTTGAGAACTTGCCAAGTGTTATTCACATGAGTAGTATTCTCAACTTCAAAAGAGTGAATTGGTGTCTAATTACCTGGTAGAGAGGACTTGAAAGCTTAAATTAATTTTGGGGGTAGTCCTCAGGTGAGTGTGTTCACCTGAGGGTGTGGCAAGTTTCCCAGCAAGTGAGACAATCAAAAACCAGCCACTGAGACAATGTGGTTGATTTCTGTGAATTGCTTAAATGAATGAGAGGCCTTTGTGTGCTGGTGAGGAAATTTTATATGAAAGAACAGGAATGGGAGTTGCTGAGAGAATAAACCCAAGCAAAGACATAACCATGTAAGGTCAAAAGCATGGATTAAAAAAAAAAAATGACCATGTTCTAGCTCTTGGAAACAAAATGTTCAGGGAGAAGCAAATTTGGCAGACAGATTTGCTACGGAAGTCTTTATAAATAGTGAAAGCCCTGTAAATAGAACATAATCCCATCATCTGTGTATATTTTGAATTTAGACAGTTATAGTCTGATGAATTCAGAATCGGTTTTAAATGTGTAAGAGTAGGGCACTTGAAAAAGTAAAAAATGATCCTTTTCCCAACTCTTGCTTTAGGTTGTAAATCCCTTTTGGTTTTGATGCCACAGTACCTAGCACTTAATGAATGCTGAATTTGCTTTGTGAAAACAGACCTCATGTTCTTTACTCAAAGCAGAACATTGTTAACCAGATTCTGCTGAAACCAGGACTGCTGGAGAAGAACTCTTGGAGGGTCAGAAGCTTGGAGGCTAATAGGCTGCTTCATTAGGAGGCAGGGACAGAGATTAGGTGGGCTGACAATGGCTTTTCTCTGAGGTTTAGTGCATCATTATAGAGCCAGTTGATGGGAACCCAGTCATTCTGGTCCCATGGAAGAACTAGGAAAATTTCTATTGGACTAAATAATTAGATTTATGAAATACTATTAAAGAAATGCATTTTTTTCAAAGTGTTTTCAGTAATTTGTTGTCGACTATCAAAATACAGGGAAAGASGCTGTTGAATATTTGCTTTACCAAATAAATAAGTTTATAAAGAGTTTGTAAAGGAGTATATCTAAGGTGTCTGAGTTTATGATGTCAGAAAATGGAAAATATTATCAATTTACATATATGGTTTATTTTGTTAATAACTCTACCTTTCCCCATAAATAGGATTAAGATGAACTTCSGTCTGATCACTGATATTTCTATTTTTTGATTAGAGAGACTGAATTACTGAGATTGTATATGGGTGATAGTTTTCAAGTTTGCAATTGCATATTTTATAGATACCTGCTTTTGCTTTTTTGTTTTACAGTGTACTTTGAAGTATTATAACTTGTAGATATTTTAATGACATAGTAGCAATATCCTTTGTATATTTAAATTTCTTACATTTTCTAGTATAATTATTTTTTAACCATTCTTACATTTTCAACCTTTTTGAGATATAAACTACAGACAATAAACTACACATATTTAAAGTGTACCATATGGTCAGTTTCCACCTATGTGTGCACCCATAAAACTACCACCACAATCAAGATAAAATGCTTTCATAAGGACCCAAAGTTTCCTTGTTCCTCTTTGTAATCCATCCATCTCTCTAGCCACTCGCACCTTCCTACAGATCATTGTTCTGCCCTCTATCATTAAAGATTTGCTTGCATTTTCTAGAATTTTATATAGATATAGTCATATATATCTTCTTTTTAGCCAGTTTGATTTCACTTAGCGTAATGATTTGGATAATCTTATGTTGTTGCTTGTATCAATGGTTCCTTTCCATTGCTGAGTAGCATTCCACTGTATAGATGCATTGCAACTTATTTATCCATTCACCTGATGGGAATTTGTCCCCACCCCACAGTTTTTACATAGCTTGCCAAATAAGGTTTCTATTAATATCCATGTACAAGGATTTGTGGCAACATGTATTTTCATTTCTTTTAGGTGTCATTACATTTGAGAATAGTAGGCTAAATGATATGAGTGTTTAACTTTTTCAGAAATTGCCAAACTGTTTTTTTTAAAGTGATTGCCCTTTTTACCTTTCCACCAGTGTTGTATGAGAGTTCCAGTTGTTTTACATCCTGATCAATACTTTGTATGGTCAGTGTTAGATATAGAGAAAAATATTCATGTCTCTGCATTTTTATATTACTGAAAGAATTTAACTGGAACCTTGGTTAAAAAATAAGACTTGAAATTAGTAAGAGATTTACCTCTTCAGAGTAATGTGTTTACATGTTAAAGTCTTATGAAACTAGAATCATAGAGTCATTTCAGGAGTTGGAAACCCCAAGAAGCATGTCTTATCTACCTGTTGGAGGCATTTATTTATGTACCGTGGATGTTAGATCTGCAGTCATTTGTCTCCTTTATGTTGAACTATTTGCTCCCTAATTTGAATTCTTCCACTTAGATTGTAGGGCATGTATTAGGATCTTCCCCCTTCTTTGCCCAAAGAGCATTTATTGATACCAAGGGAACAGATGTTTCTCCTCCTCTCTCAGAAAGTCTCTCTCTCTTTTAGGTAAACACCCAGGTTCATAATTTTGGTCTTCTTTACTTCTACTATAAATATCAATATATAAAAGATGATATTTGGTTCTCATCATGTGGCCTAGAGGGAAAAATTGGGTTAAAAGAGGAACCAATATTTTTATTCCCATGMATAAGTAATAATCTGTCTCTTCTCCAGGAAATTTCATGTTTACTTTCAGGAAAATATGAACAAATATAGGTCTTAAAAACTTGAATCCATTTAAAAAAACTTTTAGTCATTCTGTTTGTTATACTTTGGTATTCTATTGTGATTTTTGTTTTATATTTTCCAAATGTTGAGTGATGCTAAGAGCATCTTTCCATATACTCATTGACTAATTGTGTATCTTTGTTTATAAAGTACCTGTTCAAGTCTTCTGACCATTTTTAAGTGGTGCTATCTTCTTATTGAGTTGTTGATTTTATTATATTCTGGATAAAGTCCCTTGTGTGAATATGTTGGGATTATTTTCTCCTATTTTGTTTTCTTAACAGTGTCATTTGAAGATCAAAGGTTTTTCTTATTTGTTTATTTAAATAGTGCTAGGAATTGAACACAGGGCCTCACACATGCTAGGCAAACACTGTGCCATGGAATTACATCTGCAGCCCCCCAATTTTTCATTTTAATTAAGTATAAATTATTTTTTCTTTTATGTCTCATTTGTGTATATTTTCAAAAAACATCTATTCCTAAGATTGTGTAAATGCTTTTATATATTTCTTTTATACATTTTGTAGTTTTAAGTATTACATTTGTGTCTAGATCCATTCTGAGGTAATTTTTGAGTATAGTGTGAAATAAGGGACATCGTRTTTTCATGATCTGTGTTGCATCTCTTTTTTAAGGTTGTCTCTGAAGTTTGGTGATGCTGAAAATCTACAAAGCTTTTATATGAGGTAGGTAGGTTACCACTTTGGAATATTATAATTTCAGGACTTCAGATTAGCTCTATAAACTTATTCATTCTGTATGTGGATTTCAAAGTCTTTTTATGTGATACTTCAAACACTGTGATACTTCAAATGCCACAGCTAGCTAACTACACTGAAAAGTCAATGGCTATATGTGATGGGATCCTGTAAGAGTGTTTTCTTCAGTTCCTATTGAAACACCTATGCTCCACTCATCAGAGAGGAACTTAAGAATTCATGAACCTGAAATGCTTGAATGTGATGTCATTTTCATTAAACTAATTCTTTCTTTCTCTCTCTCCCTCCCTCCCTCCCTCTGTCTCTTTCCAAGGCTGAGGCTCTGATTTGAAGTTAATCTGTGTAGTTCCTTATAATGATGCACACTTCTATATCTGCAATGAACAAGTTTCTGAATTCTCCAGTAGACAACCAACAAAGGCCTACATATTTCTATATTTATGTATAGAAGGATGCAACTACCAACAGTAGTTTATCTAAACAGTTAGAAACTGCTTCTGGAGGGTGGGGAGAAATTGAAGGCATTACATTTTCATCTTATAAAAGTGTAGAGCTTCCCTTCCTATAGTAGGAATGTTTTAGTGGAGAGAAGCAGATGTGTCTTCAACATTACTTGAAAATCAGTAGGATGTGCTAGAGTACTCTTTCCAAAGCTGTGTCCTGTAAAATGCTTCCATTTTGTGAAAATATTTGTGATTCTACAGGAAAAGGATTTTGTAGTTAAACCTGCTTGAGAATTACCACATACCATGCCTTCTTCTTGGAAAGTCAGACTTCCGAGAAGACATGCTTTTAAGGAAGACCGTTGTACTCATAACTTTGATTAACCTACTGTTTCCTAATCATAACTTTGGAAAGCCTTCTTCCACAGAGCACTTACCAACATATCATGGGACACTGGTGCTTCAGTGGTCATAATTTAGAAAATATATGCCATCACCTTTCAGAGAAACTTTGTAAGGAAATAGAATCCCGTAAGGTGACCAACACTATATCTATCTGATATAGAAGTGGGGGGATATTTTTGGTCTGTAATAGCAATTTTTCCAAGTGGAAAATAGCTTTATTATTACTTACGATAAAGGTATTAGCATATGCTGTTAATACCCTGTCTATAGGGCCTTTCTACTTTAGAGCATTAAACTTCACCTGCTCAACTTTCAACTACCACTCTCTCTGGCGAAAGCAGCCCACTCTCTCCCATCCCAAGTCTAAGAAGTATATGAATACCCATCTTTCTCTCCATTGGCTGAGATCATTTAGAGGCATGTTTTTATCCTGGCTTCCAGCTTCCCCCTGGGCATTAAGCCTTTCTTGTCCACAGTGGAAACTTCCTTAATAGTGCACTCATTTTGGTAGCCTTTCTTTCCTCTTTAATTTCTCTTTCTTCCACCTTACATATTTTGATGACTGATTTTCCTGGATACTTTTAATATATTCACAACTTATTTCATGCTGTGCTTCTGAAGAAGCCCACAAACTAAATAAGAAAGAAAAGCCACGGAAAATAGAAGAGCCAGAAAACATTCAGCTATGTAATGAAAGAAAATTATAACTAATAATCCAATACCATTTT